GCAACTTGATTGTTACAAAGTAAAGGGGATTTTCCTTATTGTTATGTATAATTTATAGCTCTCCCATTCGTTGGGGATTCTGGTTTAGAAATGGCCACCAGCAACTGATGCTGGTTGTCGGAAGCGACTTTAATGGATTGGGCGGTCGGGACCCCTAACGACTGACGGTTCATGGCGTGTCATCGTAGCTCGACGGCGTGGTATCCTGCTCATAATGGTTCACCATATTGTTTGATTTCCTCCAGATCAACGTTCGATTCCCCACATGGGTACAGTGTGTGAAGCCCATTTTTGATGTCCCCCGCCGTGATATTGCTGAAATATTGCTAAAAGCGGCGTGAAACTAATTTCACTCACTCACTCACTCCATCTGGGGTGTCTAGTGGTGAACGCGTTCGCTTGTCATGATGAAGACCTGGGTTCGATTCCCCATATGGATACGATATGTGAAGCCCATTTCTGGCGTCTCCACTCCGTAATATTGCTAAAAGTCTCACTCCAGAGTACTGCACTCTGCACTCTGCCGTCTTTTGTTTGTTTGTTTGTTTGTAACGCCGCACTCAGCAATATTTCAGCTATATGACCGTGATATTTATTGACGCGAAATATCTGTCATTATGTCAGGTTTTGTTAACTAAAGGTTTTATGCAACAGGAATTAAACGTTGTTGTGAGTCTTGCCGTTTGGTGATATCGGATTGCTTTTCATGTTCTCAAAGGAATTCGACACAACTTACTTTGCCGCACAACAGAGGGACAATTATTGTTTGTTTTTTGTTTGTTTGTTGTTTACCACCACACTCAGCAACATTCCAGCAATATGGCGACCGTCTGTAAATAAACAAGTCTGGACCAGACAATCCGGCGATCAACATCATGAGCATCGATCTGTGCAGTTGGGATACGATGACATATGTAAACCAAGTCAGCGAGCCTGACAACCCGATCCCCTTAGTCTCCTCTTACGACAAGCATGGGTTGCTGAAGACAGTCTAAACTTCACGTGTGGCACGCCACCGTCACACAGCATTTTTATTTTTAATTTTTTATGCCAATATTTGTATAGCTCAGCTCAGCGGCTCAAAGGCGCTTTTGATGTCAATCTCCAACGGCATATCGTATTATCAATCTCATCTCCCTGGGGATCATACAATCTTGCAGCCACTAGGCGTACCGAGTTAATGAGGCTTTCCCATCCTTACGAGGTTGTGAAAAACTGCTCAGTGTGGCGATAAGAAATACACACGCACGCACGCTTCACGGTGACGTAGCAGAGTTGAGTGAGTGAGTGAATTAATATTTAACGTCACATCGGCAATATTTCAGCCATATCCGTAGCTGTGTTGGCCATTCCCCGTTATATATGCCCACGCCTTATTCCGAACATGACATTAAACATGAAACCTCAAATAAAAGATTATTTTTAGATCTGCTATTCATAGGCTATAGTTTCCTCAACCTCATAAAGCATAACTGTCAGTTTTGACAAATGGGACTCTCGCCTGTCCTCACTCACGTTACCTATGTCCCTTACAATATTTTTCGTTTCTCTACATATCATACCACTCAACCTCCAGCTTGTTGTCTTTGATCTCAAACCTTTTACATCTAACTCCCGACAGTTTGATCAATGGGATCCTGAATAAATAATAAAAGTTTAATATTTACATCGGTGTCACTTGCGGTCGAAATGTAATCTGACGGTCGTGGTCGCGAATGTAATAAGGCTGATATTGGTTTCGTGTACTCGTGTCCGCTGCTTACCAGCTCAATTCATTTGCTTCTGAAAATAATCATGGCCAAATTTGTATTATCAGATTCTATCTTCTGATTTATTTACCTTAATCTTGTGGTGGAGTACAGTCGATATCCATCCAGCTCGACCTCTAATAATCCCGAGAGCTGCATGTTTGATTAAACTCGACTTGCAATCATGATCGTTACGTTCTCTTCTTGCTGGACTTTGAATAATGTAGGCATTATTTGTTCACGCATCATAACCTGAGCTAATAGTTCAATTAAGAAATGTTAAATGTTTGTTACGAATAAATTATTCATTTAGTTATAGATTTTGAAAGCGCTCGGTTGATTTGAGACAAAAATCTGCACATGCATATTGACAATCTATACTTGAAAACGGGATAAAATATTTAATTGTTAAATTAAAGATTGGGGCTTTTCTTTGATTATTCAACCTTATCGGAAATCGGTTCTGTAAGAATTGTAAGATGAACAATGACATAATGATTTTGAAATAGATATGTTCAGTGCATTTTTAAATAGTGAGGAAATGCTTTTGTTTTTCATAATGAAGTGCATGTACTGCTGCTGATGTTGTTGTTAATGATGATGATGATGATAATGATGATGATGATGATGATGATGGTGATGGTGATGATGATGATAATGATAGTGGTGATGATGATGATGATGGTGGTGATGATGGTGATGATGATGATGATGATGATAATTGTAGTGATGATGATGATGATGATGATGATGATGCTGCTGCTGCTGCTGATGCTGATGCTGATGATGATGATGGTGGTGGTGGTGGTGATGATGATGATAATGGTAGTGATGATGATGATGATAATGATGATGATGATAGTGGTGGTGATGATGATGATAATGGTAGTGGTGATGATGATGATGATGATGATGATGATGATGATGATGATGATGATGATGATGATGATGATGATGATGATGATGATGATGATGATGATGATGATGATGATGATGATGATGATGATGATGATGATGATGATGATGATGATGATGATGATGATGATGATGATGATGATGATGGTGATGATGATGATGATGATGATGGTGATGATGATGATGATGATGATGATGATGATGATGGTGATGATGATGATGATGATGATGATGATGATGATGATGACCACCATCATCATGGCAGTTGATACGTATAACAATAACAGAAATATTGATCTTTTCAGTGTATCCAAATAATACTAATTCACATGCGATGCTTAACACTGTCGCTTTATAATCAATTTCCAATCCAATTTCCATACCATATTCTCAAGCACATTCGAAATCGACATGAAATTCGCAATATTCAGAGTGCTTTGGAAGCTATTGACAATATTGACTCAGTCTGTTCTCGCCGCTGCAATGTCTCAAGACGTCGCTCGGCGTTTGCTAGTTGGCAGAAATGGTGTGTAATTAGTATAATCTGAAAACACGACAGTCAAGTTCTGATACAAGCATCTTCAATTTACTCCGGCAGTTAGTCTAGACGCAGGAACCTACTAATGGACGCCGTCATGCATAATAAGTTGGACTCACAACGATCATGGTTTTAAATGGAAGACGCGCACACATGTGCCATATGCGATGGGTTTCAATTGTGTTAGTCCGTTTGCCAGTTTTGTGTAATAGGATAACATCCAGATTTGATTTTACATCCGTGAATTTGTCCTTGTCATGAATTTGGCCACATCGTATTGCCTCTTAATGTCCCTCGCTCTCTTCTTCCAATATGGAGGCAATAGTTTGGTGCTGAAACCGCATCTCGCTGAAGGAAAGATAAGTCGTCATTGATTCTCAGATGCAGCATGGTTTGGTAATTAGTACAGGGTCATGACTCTTTTTGCTCTCTCCAGCAAATCTAACGGTGCTTATAGTCTTGATGATTGCAGAAAATTGGACATGGTATCCTTATAGGTGTTTTGTTTGCATTGAGGAAATACAAAAATATTACAGATTCACCGAACTGCGTTGAAGAATTGAGTCAATAAGTATTCAATTTGCTTTATGCACTTACGTTTGTGTTGTTACACTACAAAGCAGTGAATGCCTTTTAACTTCCTATATTTATCAGCGCATGGACATGTTTCTTCGTCGAATGTAATTAGTTAAGGAGGTGCCTTTTAAACAACTATGTTGCAGATTCGTTTGATATCCGGTTAGTGGGTTTGTCACTTGCCTGCAACTGCCGTGTCAGTTGACACCGACCCCGGGTTAGAAATGGTCTAAAGTAAATCATGCTTCTCGGGGGGAGGCCACTAATGGGATCGGATGACTTAGTTGTTGATTTTCTGGTTGAGTCGTACTGCTGAAATAATGCTGAATAGATATCGTTGAACAAACAAATTCTAATAATGATTTTACCGTGCGTCAAACACTGTGGCTGTATCTGTACCAGTAATCTCAGGAGGATCACAAGCCATCTGACATATATCCCCTGACCCGGTTAGTCTACTTCTCGAACAAGTCGCGTTTCTTGATTTCTTGAAGGGGGCAGTGGGGTTCTCTCGTCACGTGGGTTCGATTATCTATATAAACATGATGTGTGAAGCTCATTCCTGGTGCCTCAAAACGTGATATTGTTGGACGATTGCTAAAACTGGCGTAAAACTAAATTCACTCACTCACTGACCCGCCAATTAATCTTCAGTAACCCAAGATTGTCGTAAAAAGGCGACTAACGGGATCGGGTGGTGAGGCTCGCTGACTTGGTTGACACATGTCATCGTATCCCGATTGCGTAGATCGATGCTCATGCTGTTGATCACGGGATTGTCTGGTTCAGACTCGATTATTTACAGATAGCTGGGATATTGCTGAGTGCGGTGTAAAACTAAACTCACTCACTAACTGATTTCATAAGTTTTCAGATGAACAATTGACTTGCACTTGCATGTGTGGGTGACGAGTGAAACCGGTGTGGCAGGATACGCTTACCTTTTGACGAACACTTCATATCTAAACGATTTAATGGTGACGCATATACGCATGCTCGTGATATAGATGGAATATTGAAAGGACTCTGCTTTTGGATGAGAGTTAGAGGAATTGGTTTATAGTTTTTATTTATGACTGCAAGAAGAGGCTTAAAATCCTCCATCTTTCATATGTCAAACACGATACTAAAGCTAAATACTTGGCATTGTTTCGCCACATCCACTTGAAATGTACGACATCAATGGTTGGTTTATAGCTCTAAATATTATGTTTTTGTTGCAGATCACAAGTGGTAAACAAGATCTATCACCATGGCAACCAACGGAGCTTCCAACATGACCAACAACGCCACGGCGATGATGGCAACAACGACATCAGCGGTGTCTGTGTCACAAACTGACGAAACTTCCCAATTTGCAACCTCTCAAGCCACTTTCATCATCGTTATCGTTATGTTATCACTTTTTACAGTGTTCGGAGTCATTGGCAATGCGCTGGCGTTTTATATTTATTCTAAGAAACGGGACAAAACTACATCCAACGTGTTCATTCTGGCGTTAGCTGCGACGGACTTTGTCGTCTGTTTGGTGGTGGTACCGTACACGATCATTGCTGAATCGGTGGAATATGAATTCGTCTACGATATCCCTTGTAAGCTGTACATGTTTTGCATAACGTCAAATGTTCCTTTGTCTGCGTTCATAATGACGGCAATCGCCTTCGACCGCTACTGCTGCATCTGTCATCCGTTCCTGCACGTTCTGACCGTGCAACGTGCAAAACTTGCCTGCGTGGCGCTGACAATTCTGAGTGCTCTCCTTGGCGTCATGACTGCTTTGAATTTCGGGGTCTATGAACTCCAGGGGCTCGAAATTCCTTTACAAGCTCCAGGAAATGGAACAAGCTTTAACGGAACGTTAAACGAAACAGACGTTTCAAGGCAGACATATTACTACGACGTGATGAACGTCTCTCTCAGCTACGACGTCACAAACAGTACCGGATACCCTCAATACAATCAGACCAGAGAAACTGAGATAAAGAAAGTCTACCTGGGCGTGTGTGTACCTGGAGCTATAATACTAAGCATGGATTTTACCAGGATTTATCAGAAACTGTATGCTGGAACATTTCTACTTTGTTTGGTAGCAGTGGCCATCCTTTATACGCTCATCTACAGATCAATCTTAGTTCGAAGACGCTGGAGGTCCAAGAGGAAGAGGATGAGTTGCTACACCAGCGTCAACGGCGTGGAGACGGTAGCAGAGGAGACACAGTTGACGGCGATCAATGGGAACAACATAATAACTGACGAGAAGAAGTCCAAACGTCCCTTTCAGAGCCGCCAAGCGGCCATAAGAGAGAAGACTCTGTATGCCAATATTAAAACTGCCGCCATGCTGTTTGTTGTGACTGTTGTCTTCGTAATTGCCTTCCTTCCATCATGGCTGATGGGGCTGCAAATTATACAGTTTAGCGTCATTGTGTACAACCTGTACTTCCTAAACAACGTCGCCAACCCTATCATCTATGCCTTTATGAACAGGGCATTCAGAGATGATCTGAGGGCGTTGATAAGAGGCTGTAAATAGGTTCAGGGTGGAAAACACTGTGTATGAGACACAGGAAACTTGCTTAGATCTAAAATGGCTGATGTGGCGATGTGTGATTGCCTGTTATGTTTGCGTTACGGACTTAGCTGCGTTTCAACATGACTCAGATCTGAATCCACGGCGAAGTTCGATCAGGGATGGACAAAGGAACACCCTGTTCCACAACATGCGAAAGGAGTCCGAACCTGAATATTATTTTTTTCATAGAGACTAGGCGTTTGCTGATGTACATACCAAAGCTTTTCTATAAGTAAACAATACATTTATTGTATATATGTCATTAAGCCTGCTATTATATAGTATCACTGAGTTTAATCAGTGTTACTAATCACTTGACTGAGCATGATTGTATAAACCAAGAGTCGTTGGAATAACTTTATTTCTCACGTAGAATCACTTTTACTTGTAGGAAAATATTTCATTACTAGAGACATTTGTATTGTTTCATATCTATATTTTCCAAAAAATGTTACAAAAATGAAATTGTTACTAAATTTAACATCAGATAGCCAGTGTCTGACCCCTACTCTGGATATGGTGGTGTTCTGTCTAGTGACATGTCGACCGTTGTAAATACACTGTAATGAACAAGCATTCAGGGTGTGAAATGTTATTCAATGTTATTTTATGTTATTAGTGTCGTTACAATCTGTTTTTCAGTTGTGTATTCATTTATCCGATTAGGTGGGTAAATCACTGCAATAATTAAGTTATATTCCTCGTACTTGATTCGAGGTAGTGCCACAATATCACAACTGTTTTCTAATTGAATATTTTATCCATAATTGTTTGATATTTACGAATTTTATTTCCACAGAATTATAAAATCACCGATGAATTACCCTGCTGTGTTATGTATATTTTGATATTAGAATGTACATTTTCAAATTGTAAATAACTAGGAAAATGAAATACGTATGGATCATAAGCACTGTTATTTAATGTGTTTGTGATGTATATTGTACATTTCGCTGATCTTACGTAACGTGCACTGTCTATCTTGTTTCAAACACGATGTTCAACACTTAAAGTGTACTGTGAACTATCTGCCAATATGCAAACAATTTTAATTTGGGGCCATAAACCATAGATTTTCCTTGATGTGAAAAATTAACCGTTAAATGAATCTTTACTTTACAGTTCTCGGGCGTGGTGCACTGAGATTTCATTTCGAGCTAATTATCAGATTGTCGTAGCTCAAATAACTGCATATCATTTGGAAGTAAGCAATAAAAAACATCATAAAATTTGCACTAAATGTTAACGTGATGTCTGATATCATTTAATCGTTTGATTTATTGTCTTTTTGCGCAACGTCTTACTCATTACTACCGTTGCACAAGCTCCGTTGCCCATAAAATCTTTTCCAATCACGAGACTGTTTCTTGTGGAAATGTTCATCTATCGCACTATATTGACGCTTCGGTTGATTTATACATACGTAATAGATGATAATGAATACAACTCTTCTTTATCAAAACAGTTTAGGTGGATATACTTATCTATTATAGACAAAACAATTTTCGCTGAAAGGTGTCAACACATTATTCATTAGAGAAGTCTTTATTCAAACATTTGCCCCATAAATAATGTGTCAATTACTCGTGCCATTAAGCCTCTTATGTGCTCAAACGGATTTTCCTACAGCTGTAATCAACCCACAGACGTCCATTAGTCAATATTTCAAACACTGGGATATAGTTTTATGTGCTATATATTTGATATGCTGCAGAATTGTCCCTAACCAGCATCTTTGATATTCTGTGTCAGCGTCGACGTTATAATCATGTGTCACTCCATAATCAGCTTTTTGTGACGTCCATTGAACAGTGTTGAGATGTGCTGCTTCTGACGATGGTGTAGAAGATTCTGATTATGGTTAATCTGTTGTCATTGTTTACGAAGAACCTGATACAAATTGGAATGGTCTCTTATTTTCTGGTTATGAGTCATATGTGCTACGTATTTGATATGCCAATGAATATACCTTAACCAGAGTCTTTGTTTAAACAGACACCCATTTAATAAAGTAGTTGCTTGGTAGCGAAGTGGTTAGGGCGTTCGCTCGTTACGCTAAAGACTCGGATTCGACTCCTCATCTGCACAGTGTTTCAAGCCTATTTCTTGTGTCCCCTGCTGTGATCCTGCTGGAATATTGTGCAAGGGTTGAAAAACGATACTTTCTCGATGAATCAAGCATATTGCTTCTGGTATTGTAACGAAACAAGAGCTGTTGAAGAAACCTTATACAGTTACATCACTCTGAGGTAGAACAACATGACATGGTATTCTTAAAGCGAAAGACAAGAATGAAATCCAATTATAATCAGAAGGTCAGACCTAGCAAGTGCTCATCATGCTGTATTGCCTGTGTGGATTTGGTCCATTCGACTTTGAAAATAATAAATCAGTAAACAGACTGTATTTGACAGATTTGATTTGTATTTGATTAAGAGACGACAACTGGAACATACCACCTGAATAAGTACACAGTATCTCGGTGTTTTTTTCATCATGGGGAAATATAGCTGCGTGAATAATAACATACATGATCAATAACTTCAAATTTAGTTAAATGACATTAACTATCCCAAATGTTCGAAATTAACAACAATTCACAGAACAGCTTTTGAATTAAGATATACTACCCATTGTTATGAAAAATATGATATTGCCACGGTACATATAACCAATTTCCATACTAAGTGCATATCAAAACAGCAAAGCCTATCAGACATGCTGAGTACTATCCTTCCATGCACTCGGACTTAATAGCACTTTTATTCAAATAAGCCTATACCAATTGTGTAGATGGATGCTCATATTGTTGACCATCGGGTTGTCTGGTCCAGACTTGATTATTTACACCCCATATAGCTGGAATACTGTTAATTTGTTAAACAGCAAACATATAAGTAATCGATCAAATATATATCTGGAAAAAACAAGCATTTCCATATGAAGTATTTATCGTTAACCTTCTGTTAAATGACCGTTAGAATTGCGAAATTAGCTAGTTATTTGGTAGTTTTCTAGAAACGGAGCTTCGGATGCTGTTCAGAAATTGATGCCTTTGGTTTGGTCTAAGTTTGTTTGTTGTTGAACGCCGCCCCCCACAATGTTCCAGTAATACGACGGCAGCGTCACAGGGAAGACATTACACTTTGCTACAGTGGAACCGCGGAGACTTCATCAGTGCTTTGTCGTGTCTTGAAGACATTTGGACATCTGGAAGTGTCTCTGAGAGATCCAGAACCATACGTCCGTGGCTCCAATTATAGGAATCATCCGTTGATAAAGTAACACTCTGGCTGCTTTACTCGTTGGAAGCCTTTGAGGAGGCCCTTCATTGGTATTGTTAGACTCTGATTAATGGACGCCAACGCGACCGGTCACTGCAAATGTCAGAGGCCTGAATTGTAAGGGTCTGCCTCAGATTCCCTGATTGCGCAGGAAATAGGTGTAATTGTGGGGTAACGCGTCAAACCAGCCAACCAATTCAATTACAAAAGCTATAACTCGTAAATGGCAACTTTTTGTCTACAGGTGTTAGCAAAATAAGTTTTAAAATTAAAGCCGGCATGTTATGCTTTTTCGCTGGTGCTATTCGTTACCGTAAATGCATCAACATATTGTACCAAATCGTCATAATGCCAATATGGTGTTATTGTAGCAAAACAACTGAATGCTAACTCCATGTACTTATTTTTAAAGCAGAATTCAAATTTATTCAAAGCAATCCAAAAATGCATCTTCATTGAAAACGGGTGAGTGAGCATAGATTTATGCCGTTTTAGCAATATTCTAGCAATATCACAAAGAGGGACACACATTGTACCCATGTGGGGAATCGAACCCGGATTGAACGAGCGAACATTAACTACACACCTATCCCAGATTCCCTAAAACGGATTTGAAAATTAAAATGTATATATCAAAGTAACTTTTATATTTGTTTTCGTGTTATTAATCTTTTAAACAAAACAGTCCCTAAACAGGGGCGTAGGAACGGTTTTCAGAGCGGGGGCGGGAGGGGGGGGGGGGGGCAATTTACGAAAAGTATTGAAAATCAAAATGAAATTGTAGTTATGGTAAGGTAGATATGGTTTCGTCTTGAAAAATGTGGGCCCCCCCTGTTCCTACGCCCCTGCTAAATGAACGCTCTATATCGGATTGAAGTTTAAATATATTGAACTGTTTATTGAACTGCACACACAGATTATAGCGGAATAAAGTTTGATTGGGTTATTACGCGGGTCTATGTGATCCAATATAGTGAAAATGTGCGTTCGCTGAATGTCAGAATGGAATCAGGGCTTGTGATTTCGAGCGTAAAACTTAATCAAATGTAACCATGGCAACTGGTCTTGAGTTGTAAGAAATAAGTGGCAAACAATTTTAGGTACTGTAGTAAATTCATGAATATTTCATTAGGTGTTAGTTAAACCGTCTTCACTTGATATATGTTTTACAACGCAATTTTAGAATGGCAATGTCAGGAGAGCTGAATTTCAGTTAACGGGAAAGAACGTGGTAACGTCAAAAAATCTTTCTTGTCCACAGGCCAGTGATGAAGCAGTTTTAAATTAAAGTGAATGAGTGTGTTTTGTTTCACACTGCAACGATCCACGCAATTGTTGTAATCACCTCAGTCACCAGAGTCTCAAAAGTGTGAGTGAGTGAGTATAGTGTTACGCCGCTTTTAGCAATATTCCAGGAATATGACGGCGGGAGACACCAGAAATGGGATTCACACATTGTACCCATGTGGGGAGTCTCAAAGACTGAACACTGACCACGTTGTAATGATCTGCTGTTGCGACTTGGATAAAAGTACGTAATGAACGAAATGTTTTAAAAGACTGAACAAAAACTGTCCTAATAACCAAAATCCGATACCGCAAGCTAGTTTTGTCCGTTAACGTGTTTTATTATGTTCAGAGACCGATAACTAGTCTCATTATATCTTTCTGGGATGTTCTCTCGTGAAGGCTTGTACTAAACGGCAATGTGTTGCTGTATTTTGTTGCCTGTAATGTGTTGTCTAAGCGCCTTTACCGGACACAAATTGTGATTTGCTACAGCACTTGAATAAATCTTGTTGATTTATAAACAAGGTGTTTTTGTTCCTATGTTATGTGATCGCATTCCAGTGTGGTAAACCATTTATCCCCGCCGCGGATCGGATACAGTGCGGCCATTGGAATCTCTTGATCATTAGGCGTAATGGCATAACTGATGCATTTGGCGTAAATGTGATTGTAAATGTATTGATGTTGTACAATATTATAGATCAGTAATGCCGACGTGTCGATATTTTCTCATGTTAATACAATACTTTATATGTCACGATGAAAGAAAATACTTTGTGTAAAAATCCAAGGTCAATACCGAGTTATCCATGGTTTTAATGCTCTTCTCCATGAACTAATGTGCAAATAAGTGTTGAATGCACTCTTCCAGCCGGAGTCAACGGCAGTGGACTTGATACTTTCAATGAAAACAACACCAGATTTCATATCATGGTTATGTATTTTGACAACCTGTACACTCCGTCTGTAATTTACGTCGGAATACCTGAAGACACTAAAATGATTGATTATTGCTCAATAGTATCCCCTTCTACTTTGAGGTTGAGGGCCGTTATCCCATCTCTTAGTTCTATTGGATGTCCAAATTAGCTACTGTGAAGTCATCACTCGAGTGGAAATGGGTTGTGATTGCAGCGTTCTTCATGTTTCGGAACAGCAACGTCTCAAAGAGCTGGATGAGAAGTTCAAAGCTTCTTGTGGATATTAACCATAGCAATGACCAAGTTGTGGGCTGACCAAATTGTCCCGATGGAAGAGCACATCTTCGTCCAGCATTTGGTAGTCTTAATGGTACCACACAATAAATATGAGTAATGTGCTTCATTTATTGCTTGGCCGTTTGGGACATAGTCTACTGTAAAGGCACTCTTGGGAAGAGGGAACTGTGTCATTCAAGGAAGTCTGGATTGGACATGGCCTTCTTTGGTAGTCATGCTTTCTTCGGTAGTAGCAGAGTTGATGATGAGAATGTAATGATGAGAATGTGATGATGATGATGAGAATGTGATGATGAGAATGTGATGAAGAGAATGTGATGATCAGAATGTGATGATGAAGATGATGATGATGAGAATGTGATGATGAGAATGTGATGATGATGATGAGAATGTGATGATGAGAATGTGATGATGATGATGAGAATGTGATGATGAGAATGTGATGGTGAGAATGTGATGAAGAGAATGTGATGATGAAAATGTAATGAAGAGAATGTGATGATGAGAATGTGATGATGAGAATGTGATGATGAGAATATGATGATGAGAATGTGATGATGAGAATGTGATGATGATGAGAAAGTGATGATGATGACAATGTGATGATGGAAAGTACCAAACTTTCATCGCCAGATTACGAATTCTCTGGATCACATCTGGTATTGCTGACGGCACAGACCTCCCAGGTCGGACTAATCCTCAAGGCTCTCCTTGACACGGTCACACAAGCTGTCCATCTATTCCATGTAACACACGAAGGGACAAACCTCCCTAGATACCCTCTAATCTTCCTGGGTGTCTTAATCCTCAGGTTTGGACACTTCCCAAAGGTCACAGATCCCTGCTTATTTACCGACTCACAAACGAAGCAATTTCACAATTTCGCTATTCCTTCTGTATGAAGATGTAAACCTGTCGATAAACTCTCGTATATGTGGAATAACGTTTGCAATTACCGTCTCCCATTCTCGAGACAAAATGTCCAAAACACGTTTTAACTATTAACACATGTTCAAACATATTTAGCTTCTTAACATGTACATTTGAACCATGTTTAGATAATTAAAACGAAGGTTCTTCACGTGTTTTGAGAAAAGGTACAAATTATTTGCTTCGTTTGGTTTTAATACTTGTCCAAAACATGAAAGAGCTGTTTATGCCCAACATTTGTTGAATACATCAACACATATTTTGCTGCTAATGTCATGCCAGCTTTGACTGATCTTTAGTGCCAACGCAGATATGTCAAGCAAGCGGTTACCGACGAAATTAACAGTTCAAGCTGCATACCAGAGAGCCTTGTTTTTTCAAAGACCAATAACGACAGTTGAATGGAATTTTTCCGTTTAGCAGAGACAAGATGTCAGACAACCTAACAGTACAACGTATTTTACCTCATTGCTATAGGGGGGGCGGTGGGGTAGCCCAATGGTTAAAGCGTTGGCTCGTCACGCCGAAGACCCGGGTTCGAATCCCCACATTGGTACAATGTGTGAAGCCCATTTATGGTGTCCCCCGCCGTGATGTTGCTGGAATATTGCTAAAAGAGGCGTAAAACCAAACATGTGTCAACCAAGTCATCGAGCCTGACCACCCGATCCCGTTAGTGGAATCT